ACTGGATGCATCGGAGTCCTTGAGAAAGGAAGAGGAGCAAGCTACTGAAACACAACCTATTGTTTATGGTAATATTTTGGTTCATGTGTTGTAATATATTTGGCTTTTATATCAGCGCTTCTTGATTTTCTTCCAAGAAAAATTCTTCACGTGAAAGCAAGTCTTAAGGAAACGTGTTCTGAAGTATAACTACAGTACTGCTGCTGAGACTGTATGGGGACTACAGGATTTGAGACTGTCCCATTACAGAAAGGTTTTCTTGAGGGAAGTAGCATGGGAGCTGTTCCAGAAGTGCTTTATTTTAGATCTTGCTATTTATTATCTTGGATATTCATAGCCAGATTATTCCACTGATTCTAGTTAATTACAAATAGGAATTCTAACGAGTGATAAAGGGGCCTTCAGTCCATGGCTGGCATCCCCAGGCACTGCATCCTGAAGCAGTGTGATGATTGTGGACTATTAGCTGTAAAACCACTGGGGGTGATGTTTCAAGACCTAGCTGTGAGTACAAAGCTGATGAGTAGTCTGATCTATATTCTCTCTAAAGCAAAAAAAAATCTCATAGAAGTGTTTCTTTAGGCATGGTTAGCAATTGAGCATCTGAGATCTTTTGGGGAAATATCCATCCCAGCTGCTGAAGCCTCTAAGTCAGTCGTAGGGAATTATTGTTGAACGCACAGAAGTCAACAGGGAGGCTGCAGGAATTCCATCTGAGCTGTCAGCACCTAACAGTAAAGGTGCAACTTCTGTCTGTTCTGTCTTCCAGGCCAGCCACAACTCATGTTGACAGCAGGACCCAGCGTTGCAGTTCCTCCACAAGCACCTTTTGGCTATGGTTACACTGCACCACCCTACGGGCAACCGCAGCCAGGCTTTGGGTACAGCATGTAAGGTGCAGCACAAGTCTGTTTGGAGCTAGCATATTTTCTTACTGAAACTCCACCGTCCCTCCCCGCTTTAACTCATAACAGGGAAAAAGCAAAGAGTTCTGCCTCGTGTTCTTGTAACCTTTATTTCATGAAGGACTGTTTTTTCTAGCGCAAACTATTTGAATCACTTATGTTAAATCTTTTTCACATTCCATGTCATTTAGACTTTACTTTAAAAGGGGGAATAGTTTAAACAACTTTGTTCAAGTGGGCTTTTGCAGGACTGCTTATTACCATTAAGTCTATTGTGAAGATTCTGATTTGCACTCTATAGTGTTAAACTCTAATATTGAATCTTAAGTTCATCGTATGTGAGCAGCTTACAGTATGTACTGTCTATTCTAAATGCATTTAAGTCTCACTGTATATTCAGAGAAAGCTGAAGTGAAGATACTTGTATTTGACCTTGCAAGACTGCTGACAGAGACAACACTAATCAGCATATCCTACCCTGATGGATTGCATAGCTCTAAAAGAATTTAAAATGCATACAGACAACCTTGCCTGACTTAAAATTATGAGTAAAAGTTTTTTTCCTTAACCTATGCAGGTTTTTCCAGTTATGCATATAGAAAATGCTAGTGTCTTTTTGCTCACTCCATATGTAACAGATGACCTTATGTTGTGCTGTATCCTGTGCTTTTGTGGGACATTCCATTCAGGAACAGAGCACCATGATTCCAATCTGTGTATTTACTAACCCTGCCCTGAGGTTTGTGTATGTTGGATATTGTGGTGTTTTAGATCACTGTTTTGAGTGTACAGAAGAGAGAATTCAAGCATATTGCTGTTCAGTTTTGTTTGTGCAATTTGAAATTACTCAATTTAAAAATAAATTACTGGACTGTGGACATGCTGCATAGTAGTAGCTTCAATTTACTGTTTTCAAAAAGGACCTTCAACCTCAAACCAAGCATTACCACGCTAGCAGTATGGGGCATACAGGTGCATACACTTAAGGGTAGGAGGGGCCATTAGAACAGCAGCAGTGGAGACCATCAGTGGTGTCTTGCACTGAAGGGAGGATACAAGAGAATACATAATGCTTTTTCTACAGTAAGATTATGCCAGACAGAAGAGAACGGCACTTTTCAGTAGTGGGCTGCATTGTGGTCAACTGCAGCATCTTTGACCAGATGATACATTAGGATTGTAGTAGGGTGTGTCAGTTAAATTGAGATTATGTTCTAGGTATGTAAGTTGCCTTAAATATATTTAGCTTCAAATAAAACAGACTTAAATGTTTCTCTATGAATACTGTCATATTTGAGCGTGATGGATATTAGAGCACTGACCCTGTTAGAGCATTGACCCTGTTAGAGCTGGAGACACTTCTGTCTCTTAACCAGGAGCCATTGTCAACATCAGGTTCCAGATTTGAGGCTCAGTCTCCTTCCTGCTTGCTCATGTGAACTTTGGTTGTACTGGGTGTCAGTTGAGCAGAGGTAGAACCTATGTACCAGTGTGATTTTAACTCTGCCCAGTTAAATCTCAAAATTGAGTGTTTCCTGAAATTGTATCTTACTGAGGATTAGCAGCTCCTCAGAGGTTAGTTTCCTATAGGATGAACTGTTAACATGTGGGTAACTCCCATCGCATTGGTTGAATTGGGAACACTGACCTGCCTACAGATGCAGAAGCTGCACAGCCTCATCCAGAAAGGAGCACAGCTTGCATCTTCCCTTTACAAGTGTTTACTGGCTCTTAAGCATTGAGCTGTAAACCCTGTTTAACTTGTTCAGTCTTATACCAGTTACAAGGTATTGCATCAGCTGCTGTATTGGAAACAACACAGTAATTCAGCTCCAGCTCTCTCCATCTGAGTGGGGCAATCTTCAGCTGCTCCAGGATGTAGCATTCTCTGAATTAAATGTCTTTCAAAAAAGCAAACAAACAAAAAAACCCAACAAAACTCATACAAAGGAAAGGGTGGGGTGGAAACTTATTTTTAGCACAAGCCTTATTCACTTACGCCTCCTTGGAGCTGCTGTTCAGCCAGTGAGCTTCACGCAATTCAAAATCCTCAATCCACTGCACAAGTTTTAAAAATACTGGATTCCTTCTTTTGGGTTGTAAAACTGTCAGCACTATTTTTCCCAACTCCACCAAGCCTAAAATCATAGAATGGCCTGAGTTGAAAAGGACCACAATGATCAGCTGGTTCCAACCCCCTGCTGTGTCCAACCCCCTGCTACGTGCAGGGTCACCAACCTGCAGACCAGGCTGCCCAGAGCCACATCCAGCCTGGCCTTGAATGCCTGCAGGATGGGGCATCCACAGCCTCCTTGGGCAACCTGTTCCAGGGCAAAACCACCCTCTGTGTGAAAAACTTCCTCCTAATATCTTCTTTCCCACTTCAGAATGCAATGCACAAGCTAGAAAAACTCATCAACAGCATTAAGCTTTGCAAATTTACATCTTTTACAAAAAACGGTAACTTTATTTCTACTGGAGAACACACTGAAACATCCCAAATCTGGGATTTTATCCCTTCAGCACCATCTATACCAGTGCACTCAAATTCCTTTGCTCCCCAGCTCAGAAGAGTTTTAGATGACCAGAAACTTTATCTACTACATCAGCAGGTCCCGGCCCGATACCGAGGACGGTCTGGGAGCCCGGTGCTATCTGAGTGCGACCAGCATCCTGTATTAAGCTCACAGTCAGTCCCAGGCGCTTGGCATCAGCCAGGAGCTGAATCAGAGTCTCTTCATCGGGAGCTTTGAGGACCACCTTGGGCTGCCCGCAGTACTCCCACTGCTTCAGGAGCTCGGGGTTCCTCCTTTGAACCTGCTTGTAGGCAGAAACGGCCGCGTGGGAACACTGCGCCGCTACTTTACCCTTCCCCATCTTCAGATCGTTGCGGACGACCAGCACCATCTTGAACTCTCCCGACTCTCCCATGACGTTGCTTTCGGTCCCACAGCCGCCGGCGGACGCCGCCATGGCGCGGTGCTGCCGCAGGAGCCGACCGCGGATGCCCCATCCCAGGCACACACCGCAGGCAACCCCCGCCAGGATGCTGAGGAAGCCGGGCTTGGAGAGGTAATCCATGGCGCCTTTGGGAGACGGGCTGTGAAGACAGAGCTTACCGTGATCAACTGCTTACTGAGAGGCCGTATTTGCCACCAGGCCGCTCCCCTTTCAGGCAGCGGGAACGGTCACAGCACGCGGCCTTCCCCCGCCTCCCCAGCAGCCAAAGCCGCACGACTTCCGCTGGTTCGGGAAGCGGGAGCCGCATGTGACTGCAAGCCGCCGACAGAAGCACCGCAACCTCACCGGTCTCACCCAGCGCCGGGCCTCGCACAACCGGCGCAATTCGAGGCCGACGAATGAAAGAAAGGCGAAACGGGCCGGCTTCTCTCAGGGCCCTCAGGAGAGCCGAGCCCCGCCCCGCCCCGCTCACCTGCCACCTCCACGCGCCCACCACGCTGCTGCCGCCCCGCTGCCGCCCGGAGGTGACGCCACGGCCGCGCGCCAACGACGATCAGAGCGCCTGCCGCCTCCGCTCAGCAGCGGGCCGGGGAAAGGAGCGCGGCGCGCCGGAAGTGACGCAGTCATCGACTTCGGTAAGAGGAGGGTAAGAGGCGGGCTGGCTCCACCTCTACTTCCGGGTTGGCCCGGGCCCAGCAGGAGCAGCCGGAGCGCGGCGTGGTGAGTGTGGAGCGGCGGCACGGCACGGCTTTCGGCGCGGCTCTCTGCCGGGTGAGGCTCTGCCTTTATCGTCCTCGCGGAGGCACCTCTTCCTCTTGGTGCTCCTCAGCGCTGCGGCTGCCCGGCTCCGTTCCCCTCAGGCCCCAGCCCTGAGCCCTCGTCTCTATGGCGACAGCTCCCCCTCAGGGAGGTCCGGTGTCGCAGCGCCCAGCGGCCCTTAGAGGCCGGGGCGGCGCTCAGCGGGCACTGCGGGGAGCGGAACCGCCGCGCTGTGCCGGCCCGGGGTCGGCGGAGGAACGGGAGCGGAGCGTGAGGGGCCCAGGTGGGGTCTGGGAGAACCTGAGGGGCCGCAGAGCTGTGGGGTTCGGGCGGTGCTGCGGGCAGCTCGTCACCGGGCCGCGTGGGATCTGTGCGTCTCGTTGGGTAAAAGGCCGGCAACCCTGTGATGGGATCACCTGGTGCCTCCCGAGGGACGGTGACTGATGACACAGGGAGAAATCTGTCCTTTGAGATGGGTCGCATTCCGATGGTCTCTATCTGCTTCTCTTGCACTCTGCTCCCCTGGTTGGCTGCCCTGTCGTCCCCACCATTCTCTGTTATCTCCATTCCCAAAGCACAGCAGTGCTCTGTCCTGCTTGGCTGGGTAAGCCCACATCCCTGAGGTGTCTCAGCGTTGCCTTCTGTTGATGGAAGTTAACATTCACGTGTGTTTGTCTGCTTCTTAGCTTTCTATCTGTTGGCAGCTAACGATGACAGAAGCAATAAGATTCCTCCTTTCTTCCAGTTTTGCTGCTCAGACACTTTGACAAGTTGCATAGGTGACTTGAGGGAAGGGTTGCTGTATGTGTTGCTGTGTGTGATGGTGGCAGTTTGTCTGCAAAGTGCTATGAAAGCGGGTTATCTGCCTCGAGCTGCATGTGTGAAACATCCTCAGGGTCCTTTCTGCCCTTGTTCTCTCTGCTCTGCCAACAAGTGGGTATCCTGGTTTAGTTCATGTTGATTACGTGGGTTGGGAGGGGATGCGGCGTTACCCTTTGATGCCTTGGAGCATGTGAAAAAGGCTTCATAGTGACATTCCTCTTTCTTTTAGTTTATTGTTTCTGCAGCAGGGAATGGACTTTGTTATTATTGTTATTCCTTATTGGCAATAGATAATCAAAGATTACTTCATCCTTTGTTTTCAGAGGAGGGTTTGAACAAACACATTTCCAGTTGTGCAATGGGTGGTTAGTACTTGTTGTTAGTTTGAGCTAAGCTCCTTGTGCTACTTAGCAATGAAATCAGTGGGACTTGTAAGCTCTGTGGGAAGGGAGAGGAGAGCACTCATTGGCTTTGAAGTGGGAATTGGGAATGGGAAAGGTGAGTGTGCTGGGAACAGGGGCTGCCCTTCTGGCTGGAAACTTTGCCATGTCTGCTTCAAAGCTTTCTGAGTTGTTGTCTTTGAATGCCTTTTCAATCTGTCATAACTGTTTCTGACTGCATCATATTAGTGCCACTTGTTAGAATGTCTTAATGCGTATTTTGGGATCTCTGTGTGTGTTTTTCTCCTTAATAAGTTCTAATTTGAAAACAAAGCTATTATTATTCCTGGTCTATAGTAGGAGTAAGCTGTTTTTTTCAGGTACAACTGCAATGAGAAATTATCACCTTCAGTTAGAACTTTAACTGCAGCTGGCTGGAGAAGTGTCAGCTGGATGGACTTTGCTGTTCCAGGAGGACGAAGGGCGCAGCCTCAGGGCTGTTGCAACACTGTGCTGTGGCTGTAGCAGGTTGGAAGCACAGCCATGAGGTTTGGTGCCACACTGACCAGGCAGACCTGGGGAACAGTGCAGGCTGGTGGGTAGGTCAGCGTGTTTGGAAGCTGTAGAGAGAATACTGTCCCCACTTAAAAGGCTCGGAGTCGAGCTCCGTGGTTCACATTACAGGCAGGATGTTCTTACTGGATAGCTGAGGCAGCCCTAGTGTGACCTGTACTGGTTCCATCAGTCTCTAACTCTGGCTTCTTTCCGAGCTGCTTTCTAGCAGGATTCTGTATTGTGTGGATGTGTTTCCTTGTGACAGTGACCTTCCTTTCCTCTCTGGGGCACAGGCAGCCTGCCCACGGAGAGCTGTGACACTGCCAGGATGTCTGCACGTGGCACCCCTGCAACTTGTTTCACTTAACGTTAAACCATCCTTTCCTAACAAAGATGTTCCAAAATCTTTTTGGAAAAGTAGAAATTTGATCTCTAAATGGTAACATTGCACTTCTTTTTTTGGTGATTTCCTCTGGCTAGGAATTGGAAAATAGGTCTGGTGTACAGAGGCATAACCCACAAAAAGGAAACCTGCGGTCTTTAACTGAATTACTTGCTCTTTCCTTTGAGGGATTAAACTATTTTAGTTAGAAAAACGTGGGTTTTTTTCGTGTGGGAATAAATGTACTCCTATCAAAATAGCCCATTATAGCTGTGTCTGTGGAGACTTTGTACATCTCTCATATGTGTCCTCATTTACTTTAATTGAACGCTTCCCATGAGCGTTAAAGGACTGGAAAAATAAAGTAGTTACTTTCTATATTTTCTGTGGCTTTTAGGAGGGTTGTTAACCTTCAAGTGAGGGAGGCTGTCAGCCCTGTATCACATGGTGAGCAGCGCTGTCTCTCTGTAGGTTTGGGAGAGCTCTCACTTTGGTCTTGAATGCCTCCAAAGCTGAGGACGTATTTGTTCCACTGGCTTCAAAGGCAGAAGAAGTAGTGAAGAGTGCCACAGTTTTACGGAGCCTAAGGGGTATGTAATGCTTTGCTTTGAGACCAATCTCATCCCGTGTTTAAAGGTGTTGGTGTGCAGGCGGTCTGCCTGCTGCAGGAAGGTGCTCTCAAACCTTTGCTGTGCCAAGGAACTGTGAATGTAATCTGTGTCCAAAGCGCTGCCTTTGTTTGGGGTGTCTGAGATCTGAGAGAACTCTGTGAAAGCCCAGCTTCTGTTCTTTGTTTTCTTATTGTGATCGATGAGCAGGGAGGCAGGTGAAGAAGAAATCGCTATCAGAAGAGTTGAGAAGGAAGAAACAGAGTGTTGGCTGGATTGGAGCATGTGGCTTAAAATGCAAGAAATGAGAAAAGGCAGAAAATGGTGTGCTGCTGATGTTCCCCCCCAGGCACCTCAGCAGAACAACCTGAGCTATAAGCATGGTTCTAACAGCTGAGTGACTTGTAGCTGTTAGAGAGGAGAGTCAGGGCTCCAGGGTTCTACAGGGCCAGAAGTGTGAGAATTAGGGATCAGACACCATGTGGGAAAGCAGTGAGATCACCAAGTTCGTGTCACAGCTTCCTCACTGTTCCAAAGCCATAGAAAGGAGTCCTCAAAGCATCCTTAGTGCAGAAGTAAGGATAGTCAGCTCTGCCAGCACCCAGCTGCCTCCTCTTTCCTTTGACGTAAGTGCAGCAGCACAGAGCAGCCTCCGAACAGCAGGAAGAAGGGACTTCTGTCCTCTGTGATCACAGAGTGCAGAACTTGCAGTGCCTCCTGCTCTTCTGCCCCAATAGCTTGTTATGCTTGCACTGACACTGAAGCACCAGTCACAGCCTCGACAAGCCCTTCCCGTTGGCCAGTTTACATTTTGCCCAGCAATAATTGTCTTTTTGTGCTTAACGTTATGGATTGCACTACGGCTGAATAATGCATTGTGGGCTGTTTGTTCAGCCCCACAAAGAAGCTCTGTGTGATACAACAACAGCTCAAAGTTGTTTTCCTCACTCTCTTAAATAGTTGATATTTACTTTTGCTGGTAGCTGCTCAGTGCACTGGGTATATTTCTTTTTGAATATGAGCTGTGGGATTGTTCAGGGTTCGTGAGGAGTGACGGTCTGTTTAGCAGCTGGGACTTGATTTTCTTTGGTGAGCTTCCATAGGTTTGGTGTGGACGTGAGGACGTGGACTCAGTTAATGAAAGGTCACTGCAATTTGGCTCAGTCTGCTATTCCAATTATCCCCAGGTGAAGACATCCCTGCAGGAGCCATAACTCTTACTGGTATCAAAGAGGTGGGCAGATTGGAGTGCTGAGCTGTGTGCACTTCCCTCCTTCCCTCATGCTAATATACTTTAAGTATAATTAGGCTGCGGTAAATTGAGAAGGGCTTTCTGCAACCAGGAAGGGGCTGGGTTCTGAATTGCTGCCCTTTGGGACTGACCCTGTGATGGGCACCAGATCTCCCAGTCACCTGTGCTCTCAGATGGGAGTTTTTATAGAGCACTTCTGCAGAGTGGTGGGACTCTAGGACCTTCTTAACAAGTGCTCAGCCTACACAAGTGTGCAAGGGGGTTATTTATCTTTGATGTAAATACTGATCTGTGTACTCGAGGTAGTGTTACGCAGAGCTAATCCCAGATTAGGGCCTTCCCAGGCAGGCGGGATGCAACTGGTTCTGCTGGCTGTGGTCGTGGAGGCTGTGTGTAGGAGCAGCACAGCTGGGAGCTGCAGAGATGGGTGGGTTTTGTGTGGCAGTGGTACTGAGTGCAGTGCAGAGGGAGTGCTGTGCACGGCCGAGACCTTCATGTCCAACACAGAAAGAGTCTGTATTGCATGAACTGGCTTGCTTGAAATGGAATGAAGCTGAATGCAGAGAACAAACTGAGACTTCAGTTTTGGAGACTGGATTTGCAAAGGAAAAAGGTGAGTTTCATAATGAGCAACGTGTGACTTCCACTGATGGCTTGAGTAAAATTTTGGGGTGTTTATCTTTAAGAATGTGACTGCAGCTCCCTAACATGGAACTCTCCTGCGTGGTGCCCCAGGAGCAGCAGCTCCTGTGCAGCTGGCAAGTGTGGATGCCCACTTCCAACAATGCTGTTCAGAGAAGGAGCTTTCTGTGTGCAGTATGTGCACATCTGGCTTGTGTGTGTGTACACGGATCTGATATATGTGCATAAATACACGTACAAAGCAAAACCCCCATGTAAGTGCCATCACTAGAAATTGAATGCTCCACAGCCTGCGAGGATCCGGTGCTCTGATGAGACCAGGAGGTGGCCCAGCATATGATCCGTATGTCACTGCAGCAGGTGCTGTGTGCCCTGCAGCCAGGCTGTGCTGACTCCAGCCACCCGCTGGGGGAAGGAATTTTGCATTTGTCTGCTGTTGAATGAATGGCTGCAGAGCTCCTGCTGTACCACCTCAGTCCTCTGCTGCCCCGAGCTCCTTGGGGAGCCCTGCAGTGTTGGGCCCAGAAGCTGCAGTTTAAATGGGAGTGAAGGTCTCACTGCTGTTTACCAAACTTAAAGTGCTGCTTTGGCTCTGAAGGCCAGTGTAAATCAAAGGAGAAATATCTTTTTTTTTTTTTTTTTTTGCCATAAAATTTTAATTTCCTGCACTGGGCAGTTTTATATAACCTGTCATTTTAATATAACACTGTTTCCCAACAAAAGCGCCGTATCAAACCCTGTAAATCAAGCTTCCTTGCAGTGAGAATTGTAATGCAAACGAGTCGCTTTAGCTCTGTGGGACTCTGTTCTCCAAAATGAAATTCCAGAGGCTGGTCTAAGATTCATGGGACGGTGTTTAACGCCGTGGCTGTGGCTGGCTGCTGCTTGTGTTCAGTTGCACAAGCGTTGTCAACTGTGCAGAATGAAAGCAGCTCTTGCAATGTTCCGTTTTACGCTGGCTTCCAATTGCTGTGCAATTTCCTTTCCTGGATAAGGAAAACCACAGTGGTTCTTGTGAAACTTTAAGGCTGATCTCATCAGAAGAGAGACTGAACTTGCAGAGAACATTGGCTTTTCCAAATGCTTTTCATCAGGCAATGCAGAGCTTTCCTTTTCTGCTTTAGAGATATTAGACCGTACGATGTGAGATGCAACTCTGGATCTTGGTTACCATGTTGAGGGGTTCTTTTTATGAATCTGGGAGCATTTTGAGATCTGCTTGCATGTGGCTTACCCACAGAATAGATCCTCTCTAATGTGCAAGTCAAAGCCTGAGCTTCACTTTGGGAATGAATGGGAGCCCATGCAATGCTCTGCTCCTCCTGGAGTGCCAGCAGGGGGCTGCTGGGTGCAAGGGCTGTTTCACAAGCTTTTGTTCAGTCATAGAAATGAGGGAGTTTTGTCACTGAAGTGCAAAAATTCGGATTTCTGTAGGTGGAAAGGTTTTCAACTTTGTCATTTGTGGGAATGGAAACACTTCTGCTTTTTCGTGATGTAATGTGGGATAACAGTGGTTTGGGGAGCTGCTGGGTGTTTGCATGCATCCTTTGACTACTGAGTAAACAGAGTCTTTGTAACAGCGATGGAGACATGATGCTCTTTGGTTTTGTTCTGTTAGGTCCCTGTACGTGAGTGATCTATGAAATGGCAGAGAATGGAACAGATTGTGACCAGAGACGCATAGGAATGAGCAAAGAACAGCACAATGGGAGCTTCACAGGTAGGTAGGAAATGTCTTCATGTTCTCAGCTGGTCAGCTTGTGACCAGCACAGGATTTGAAAGGAATTTATGTTGGTATGCTTTATGCCCAGATAATGCAAAAGGAGACACCTGAATTACTACTGGAAACTTCAATCTGAAATCTGGAGAACTTCTGTAATGTAAAGCCCCAGAATGGTTTCATGCTATCTACTGCCATTCAGCTTCTCTCTTACAGACTTCTCCTTCCAGTGTTCTTACTCTGTAGCTCGTATGCATGTGATCCTCTAACAGTGGTAGGGGCTGCAAGCTAAAAGCTGAAGAGTTGGTATGGGTAATAAAATCTGTTATGCTCTGGGAGAAATCCAGTTTTCAGTCTCCCAGTTTCTAGCTTTTCTGTTGACAACTTCACTATAATGCATCATTTTCAATTGTACGTCGCTGGCAAAACAGCTTCATCTCCTGCCTTGTGCCTGTTGTTCTTAATGGTATGTCTGAAATCAGCTTGGATTGGTGTTTAGAATTTGTGAAAGGTAACCTGGGAACATTTAATGAAGACCTTTGTCACTGAATGCTCTGTGTGGTGTGGAGATGGTTATCATCTCAGTTGGTTTCCTGTCTGCCTTTGAATGTGCCAGTTCCATATTTAATTAAGTTTTGTAATCAAGTGATTTCTCAAGTTGTTCAGAGGCTTACACCACTGCAGTCTCTTACAACGTTTACTAAAATCATACAAAGTTGCAAAAAACCCAGGGCTGAAGCATTTTTATTAGACATATTAAGTGGAAAAAGTGGGGAACAAAACTTCTTCAGCTGAGGCTGAAAGAGAAGCGTGTGCTTGTGTGTATGGAGTCAACCAAAGCCTTCCTGGGGAGTGTGGGTGTCCAGTACTTGCTGCTGTGGGATTCCTGTAAGTTCATCTGAAGCAACAGGCACTTACAGCTGAGGAAAATCAGATGGGCACTGTGACTGAGGTGCAGTTGGTGTTATGGTGGTACTGAACTGCAACGTAACCAAATCACTGTGGTTAGCAGCAACGAAATGTATCGTGTCAGTTTAAGCGAGGGGCTGTGGTGTGTGAGCAAAGCTGGCTCACAGGATCGCAGGAGCACTTCCTTCTGGCAGGCTCCTTTTGGAGAAGCTGAACAGCCTGGCAAGGCTTAACATAACCCAGGAATTCTTACTGGGAGGGCAGATACTGTTATCCAGTTACACGGTGACTGGGTGTGTGGAGAGCACATGTAATTCAATCTGCTTCGATTGGAGCAGTCTGAGAATAACTTTGGAAGAGAACCAAACTTGAAAGTTCAGAGTGAAATGTGGGCTGTGCAGTGGGCAATAGAGATGCCTTTGACCTGGTGTGTAGCTGATCTGAAACTAATGGTGCATAATGCTAATACATTTAACAGACTTCTTGCACCCTGCGCCCATTCTGGAATGGTTGTCAGCTACATGGAGGGGAAAAAAAAAACACATTTCTTTACTGGAGGACACATGATTTCTCATGGCTTTGGAGCAAATGCTTTGTGATCAGTGAAGGTGATGAGTGGAGCTCGTGTTCGCTCCCTAACAAAACAAATAATTAACTGTGTAAATTTGGGTGGGGTGGAATCTGAACTGTCAGCCTGTGCTTTCATATTTCTGTTGCTTTTCATTTGCAGATTCTTCTTTGTTGAGTGAACGGAAGCGAAGGGACCGAGAAGAGAGGTTGAATATTGTCCTCTGGAGGCAACCACTTGTTACCTTGCAGTATTTTTTCCTGGAAACTCTAATAAACTTGAAGGAATGGACCATAAAGTAAAGATAATTTCTTTAACTTCTTCTAAGCATTCTGGGGAAACCCATGCTGTGATTCAGTAGCTCACTCTGACATCTCACTTTCCCCGATGATTCATAGCTTTAAAACTCTTTTTCCAGAAAACATTTATGTTTGTCCCTCAAAGGCAGCCACTGGCACATGCCACGCTTCCAGCTGCATACCCAGACCTTCTACCTCAGTGACAGAAGTGTACACGTGGTCAGGTCTCAATGGAAGATAATTGCAAACTTCCTTCCTGAGAGTTGAATGCTTCCATTTGAAAGAATGGGACAGTGTTTAGGGATCCTGAAGGCAAGAGATCTTGCAGTTAAGACTGCAGTGTTAAGCACTGATCTTTTAATGTGTGTGTTAGTATCACTTTATGATCTTTGAGTAATTTAGCTAGGGCAAGGTTCAGGATTACGTGGAATTTGTGTTGGTGTTTATTTCTGGTGCTGCAAAGAGGACTTTGCTTCTAAGCTGTGTGGTCCCTTTCATAGCAGGAAATTACTTATTAAAGCACTTCTAGCATCATTTACACCCTGGATGGAACGGGCTTTTATTCTAGTTGTAACTGCTAATTGCATGTTTCCAGCATCTTCTGCTAATGCTCCTTTGCAGAGAGCTGAGACTGGTGATAATGGGCTCTGTTCACAGACTGCTGGGCTGGGTTTGATGTGCTGACACATAAGTTCAGTTGATACAAACTTCTGTTTTCCATTTTCATCTTCTGCAATGAAAAACAGCAGATTTACTTAGGCTGAATCCCATTTTGCACTCCCCAAAATAATCTATTCCCCAAAGCCCAATTATTTTACATTCTTTCAGCTACCACTGGAAACTGTTTCTTTGAGCAGTGCTTTCCCACATCTTGCCTTAGCTGTTTCAAACAATCTCCAACCGTCACAGAAATAGAATTTGAGGTGTTATTTTAGGCTATTTCCCAGCTGTCTGGATATTGCATTTTATTACAGATAATACTTGCATCCTGAATTGCACAGCACATCTGTGTTATGTACCACTACACAACCACAGCTGTGTTGTGTAGCATGACCATATATTTGCAGAAAATAAGACTGTACCATGAGCTGTGAAGGTGACCTCAAATTGAATCTTAATGGTTTCCTGTGTTCCACTTGAGTAAATTGCTATTTAAATGGTGACAGTCACTTGAAAATCTAATTCTTGCAGTGATATGAACAGCTACTTTTTTCAGCTTGCTAAATGTTGAAACATTTCTGAATGTATTTCTTTATTACACCTCTTGTATTTCTACAGGTTTCTGTCTTCCATCTGAATTGATATCTTGCAGTTACAGTTTGCTATGTCTGTGCTTTTATAGCATTAGATGTCAGAAAATAAATGTATGTGGCCACACAATTAAGGAATTTGTATCAAGCAGGGTTGTTGCAACCTTGTAAAATTGGTCACATGCAAAAGCTGGCTGCCAAATTACATTGAAAAACACTTTTCCCCCTTTCCTGCAGTAGCTTGCTGATACTTCACAGTCAGTTAAAACATACATACTAAACTTTGAGCTGTCACAAAATAGATTCTCTTCAACAGATCAAGAGAACCAGAGTAGTGTGTGGATTTTTGCTGTGGCTTTGCCCACCAACAAGTGGACTGAAGTGAGCCCTGCTGCTACCCACTCCCATCCCCTCCCCAGGGCCAGTGCCTGCTTTGTTCTGTGCTTGATCAGGAATGCTGCCTTGGTTATGAAATGCTCTTGTTAAAGTTGAACATTTGATATTTAGGTTGTGTTTGCTTCCAGACAGCGACTTTGTTTTTCTTTATTTACAAACAAAACAGTGAAGTAGAGATTTTCCATAGGAACAAAGGCTCCCCAGGTATTTCTGGGGAGGTTTGTGTTTTTATAATAGCAGGCTTCTCACCTGCCATACTGACTGCATCCACACAATCCCACTCCACAAAATAAGTTACTTTTAAATGAATGCTAAGTTATGAAAGGCTCTAACTGCCGTTTGTCTTTTAAGATTGTGGCATCGGCGAAGTATCCTGGTGTCTTTTTTACTGATGCTTGCAGTGCTTACAGCTACGTATTATGTTGAAGGAAGACATCAACAGGTATGAGGTTCTCGAGTGACTAATGCTTGTACCTGTGCTAAACTAGCTGTGCTGGGGATTGAATGGGGTCTTTGTGAGATTCTAATGTGTCTTTCGAGCCCCTGTTTGCTGAAGGTTTTTTGTTCACGACTCCCCTTGTGTTGAGTGTGGGTGTGTTGTATTTGAAGGATGGGGGAGGATCAGCTGTATATGTCATCTATTCTGTTGTATACGTAGGTGTTCCATTTCTCAGCTATTCTTGACTGAGTAAGCACACCTCTGATGCTGCAGCACTCCTTAGTTGTGAACAAGTTTTCAACAGTGGTGTGAGCTCTGGAGAGAATGTTAATCTGAGTCATGATAGAACTTCATGGATTTCCAAGAAATGTTTCTTGCTATGGAAGGGGGGTCCTCACCAATCAGGGTAGGCATAGATGTTGACATAAAATGGCTCAGGTCTCTATCTCTGTTGTATCTTATTGTGCCTATTGTCTTAAAATGGCTGCTTTAAAAACTTAGTTGTTTGGGGTTACGTGATGATTAATGCTTTTGCATCACTTGAAGAAGTGCAGGCGCTTGCCCCAAGCATGAGGAGATGATGTCTATTCCTTTCCCTTCTCCGTTTCTCCTCGAGTTTCATATTTTCCCTGGAGGCAGCCCTTGTTAACCCAGCAGGACATTTCCTCGTGCAGCTGACTCATCTTAGTGCTGTTACTGTGAAAATCAGCAGGTTCCCAAACTCGGGGAACTTGTTTACTGTTATGCTGTGTTTCTAACTGGTGGACACACGGATCTGGAACAGGAGTCCTGGCCTTTTGGAACAGGTCTCATAGTGCAGTGAAATGATTTTTCAGCTCATAGCATCCTCACTCAATCCCATGCTTGAGCCTTAAGCAGTGGCCATTTCTTCTTCCTGATGCCCAAATGCCTCCTTCATTAAGAAATCCTGCTTTGGTGCCTTCATCAGCACGAAGAGCAGAGCTGGATGCTCATCACCACTAGATGGCTCTTACAAACTGGGGTTGAGTTGCACTGCCCTGAGTTTGCTGCTGGCCGTGGGCTGAGCATGGCAGCGCCTCCCCAGAGCTCTGCAGGAGGCTGCTGGGAGAAACCTGGCACCTGTGGGACTGGCAAGGCTTGTGCTGCCTGCAGTGTCCTCAATTCTTCATCCCTCTCCTTGAAAACTTGTTGATCATAAGGCCTATAGGCTTTTCTTGTCAAAGAGTGTTTTCTGTACAAGTCTCTGCTGTAATTGTAGTAAGCTGCAAATGGAGGAACCTGGTTCAGTTATTATAATGCAGAACATCACCTGTGTTAGCTTGTAGCTTTAACATTCTCCTCTGAGAGACATCACCTCAGTTGTTTCTGTTCTCTTTTGTGATTTCTCTTTCAGTATGTGCGGTACATGGAGAAGAAGTTCTTCTGGTGTGCCTACTGGGTGGGATTGGGCATCCTGTCCTCTGTCGGACTTGGAACAGGTCTTCACACCTTTCTGCTCTATTTGGTAAGCGTTTTTTATGCCCCATGTTTTATCTGAATCATGTATTTCAATTGTGTGGTTTTAAGATCTTGTGAATAAGGGATCTTTCATAAGTCCAAATGTCAAATACTTCTGAAGGAGAAGAAATACTCAGTGTAATACTGCAGTGCACTATGAGTACTCATGTTGCTCTGTGCTGCATAGCCCTGCTGTGTAGCTTGTATGCTGTTAACTCTCACTGTGAAACAGAGTCAAAATCAGCAGTGTTCTGTGCTGTCATTTACTGCTATAAATAAAACGTTTTGTAGTGCTCAGCTCAAATGTTTCCATTAACAATTTTTCGGCACGCTCTTCATAGCTTAAAATGATCACTTTTGTATCAGAGAGACCAAGAATAGGCAGCTGCTTGGAGGTTCAGTCTGTATTCATTTTGCTTTGATAATAATGGCAAGAAAAATGTCTTTCTACCAGGAGAAAATACTCTGTGTTGTTCTGAAAGTGTATCTGATGTTGTTTATCTCAGCTCAGCTAGGAAAGTTGGGGGAATGTCTGGCTGTGTTTTGCTTTTGGCCATTGGATTAGTTCCTTGTTTATGAAACCACTGTCCTGGATTTAAGAAAAGGATTCATGGCCACGAAATAATTAAAACCAGTTTATGCAACAAATGTCATCTTGTATTTGGGACAATTACAGATGTTTACTTTCAGAACTGCTTTAATCATTAACAATAACACAGAAAGCACTACAGGAAACAAAGAACTCGTGTTTTTCCATGGAGTGAAGCAGTGCCTATGAAATCCAGTGGCATCTGTATCAGCTGCGTTTGCAGCAGTGTCAGCCTGTCAGTGTGGCTTCTCTCCTAAAGGCTGAAAGTACAGGAGAAAGGAAAGTGCTGCTAAACAGGAACGAGTTAATGCACGCACACCTTATGGGTTAAGACTTCTAACCAAAGCTCCTCTTGGGAGCTGTTTGGAGAGTTTATAGTGCTGTCCCTAGTCTCAGTTTTTACACAGTTGTGTCAGAAATCTGGTCATTAACTGATGTTTTCCATTGTTTGCAAACTGCATCTGACACTGGGTTGTGTTTTGGTGTACATCGATAGGAAGCAGAGTAGGAAAGGCTCCCATTCTGTACCATTGGCTGCTCCCACACTGCTATCCTGTAAGGAAAGCACTTTTTATTCTCTTTTTCTGAAGGAAGGTGGAATGGACTGAGCTTTCTTTTACTCTGCTTTTGGAAATCGGGCTGTTTCCTTAGTTCTGAATTACTTCCATTCAGTGTCACAACATATCGCTCGAGTTTCATTGGAGCCCTGTGTTAGGCCACAACCTGCTCTGACATTTAAGTGTCCGTTGGCTTAATTAGCGATTAGCGAGGGTGTTAAGTTCAGAATAAACGCACTTCTGGAGCACACGTGGCTGCGTGCCACTAGATGGCAGTGGGAGTGTAGGAACACGGGCTGATTGCCCTGACTGCGCGTTGCCATTTTAAGTGCCAGATCTGTTACTGTTGTCGGTACAGCAGCAGCAATACACGTAAGTAAGGCACTCAGCAGTATTGTCCAGTCCTTGATAGCCACTGAGCTTGAGGCTACACCTTGTGTGAAAGGGAACAGGAACTTGAGGCAGTCGCTGTCACTTTCACGGGTAAATTATTTCAGACTCCTGGGTTTAACCCTCTGTGAACAAAGCAGTCAGGAGCTCCAGCTTTCAGGAGGAGTTTTAAAATAATTTACTGTTTTAATTGTCCAGCAGGCTCCTCTAAAAGTAGAAATGTAATAGCTGTGGCCAAGTCACTGTATTAACTTTCACATGAATACATATCTGCTTCCCATGTTCCATATACTTTAATTATGTTTCTTGACTATGGCAAACCTCATTCTTCCATTGATTCAAAGAAATTAAAAGTAAAAAACCCAAAACAAAACCAAACCCTCCTGTTTCAGTGCCGGGATTTGCAGGCAGCAGAGAACAGATTCTGTAAGTGTTTTAAAATTGCTCATAATTAATTGCTCATTTCAAATCTGTGTGTAGGGTGAGATTGTTGGGAATGCAATTACATGCCTGGAGAACAATGCTCTCAGGCCCACCCATGAGCTGCTGGGCTCTTGTTGGTGCTTGCAGCATTGTCTCTGCCACCGAGGGCTGAGGGGTAGGAATTGCTGGCATGTAGGCACCTGTTGGTGCAGTGTGCTGAGTTGCTTCAGCTGTGACACAGGTGCATCTCTTGTAAATATAGCCCTCCTGGTGCCTGCAGCTCATTCACAGCGCGCTGTCTGTGAGCACAGCCTGCTAACTGGGCACTTCACTGCTTGTGCAATACATGCAGTATGTGCGTGACTCTGATGTTTGCTCTCCTGGCCAGGTGAGCTTTTTTCCAGTGTTGAGAACTGTCATTTATCTGCATTCTTCAGAGCATCTACGCCAGCCACTCTGTTGTAGGAGAGATCCAGGGCTGAGGGTCAGGAAACAACGGGCTGGCTTAAAGCAGAGCCTGCAATCCTGAGCAGCCTCTGTCTGGGGGCACAGCACTGCCCCCAATGCTGTCAGCTCACATCTGCTTCTGATTTTGTTGGTCACCAGAACGCTCTTGCTGAATGATGTTGGTCTGAGAGGGAAAGGTGGGTTTTGGCAACAAAAAGCCTGCGATCAAACTGACGTTTCTGCAGTTCAAGGACTTGCTATATATAATTAGAGGATCCTCATGTTATCTGCTACGTTGGTTCCCAGCTCAGTGCTGTCTGCTTGGTCGTAGCCAGCAGTAAGTGTAAAATTCGACATAGCTTTTGAGAAAGGATCCTCCAGCTGCGGCTGGCACCGAGCGCAGGGCTGGCACAGAGCAGGTTTCAGCACAGCAGTGTGAAAGCTGTCTGCTCTTCCAAGAATCCTCTTTATTCTGACACATTCAAAACAAGTCTGCTGGCTTTTATTCCCAAAGCCCATTAAAGTCATTTCAGGATTCTTTAAAAACACTTTAAAAATAGTAATCACGATATGGTGCTGTAGGAAATAAAGCTATTAGGATTAATGACTCCAAGGGTTTAGCAGCATGCAGGGCTGTCGTTCTGGGGGCAGAGTTTAGACTTGATATGTCTGCTCTTATATTGATGGTATATTAAAAGACAAATGGCATGAATTGCTTAATTGCAGGGAGGTGACTTCTCGTGCTTGTGGAGTGAAGGAGCAGGCAGTGCTGGTGGGGCGCTGGGCTGGAGCTGCCCTCTGCCATCTTCATACTGCTGACTTGGTTTCAGTTCAGCTCTGGCAATGGATTGCAGATGATGTGATCGAGGGAAAGGAGATCAGCTTAGAATTCATGCCCATCAGAAAGCCTCGTGCGAGAGCCAGCTGATACAAGTCCCTTCTGTATATATGCTGTGTTACAATCTGTAGTGGTGGGGGATGAATGGGAGCGAATTCCTTACAGGTCAGAAGTGCGGCGCGAGTTCTGGCTGCCTGCAATTGTTTGTGTTTTTGTTTTTTTTAAATCCCCATCTCTGCTCTCTTGCTGATAGAGCCAAGTGGAGCAACTGCCGGAGAGCTCTGCTCGGTGGCCGGGCTGCAGAGCAACACAAACAGGAAATGTGAGGTACAATAGGAATGCTTTGTGCACGGAGGTCAGAAGAGAGCTGGGATTTTGTCAAATGTGTGGGTTTGTCACCTCATTCTTTCTCGGGCGTTTTGTAGCAGGGAGAAGGAGCGTGGCAATAATTTCAGGCCTTGAGAAAAGACTGAAAACTGCCTTTAAAGAGAAGCACGTTGCAAAGACAGTGCCTTCATTGACTGGGCTGACTTTGAGAGCCCTCCGGGGTTTATCTGGGCTGGAGGGTTCAACATCTTGCTTTTGTTCTGAATTGGTTCCAGGGCTTGGCTATGGCCAGAGGTCGCGTTTTGGCCTCTGGAGAGCACAGCAGCACACAGCCAGAGGGAGTCACGTTCTGGCCCAGTGCAAAATGAGCTGAGCTTAGAATGGGAGCACTGAGAATCAGACACGTCGTGCAGTCGTGAGCTTGTGAACTTTTCCCAAAAAAAGCCCCAAAGCACTGTTGGCGTGCATCATCACAGAACAAACACCCCCACGCCCCTCTTTCCTGCCAGGACTACTGGACGCTTTTTAAAATCGCATTTGTTTCAGTGATCCAGGCCCTCACAGCCAAACTTGTGAGGAGACCCGAGGTAAAATCACAGAAGTGGTTCTCAAAAGAAAAGCTTACACAGCAGGGCTCACTCCAGCATTGTGAAGCACGCGTTGTAATTTGGAAATCCACAGAATTTATTCTCCTTCTTTCCCCTGTTAATGAGTGACTTTAATACAGGAGTATTTTCTCAGTGATTTTCTGCTTCATAACAAAATTTGCTCTTTTTTTTTTTTGTAGGGGGAATCATTCAAAATGATCATGAATAACTGATAGGTGATGTGTTCTGTGTGTAAAGGAAAAAAGCCAGCAGGAGAACCTGAGCTGCCCAACCAGGTGGGGGGACACAAGCACGCTCCCCCTCTCAGCACTGAGTTATTGTTAAGTGTTCATATCCACTCCTTGCAGCTCTTCACATCAATTGGCAAGCCTAGGAAATAAAACCTGGTTCAGTCTAATATCTGTGATCAGGTTACTGCTATTGAATTAGGGCACTTAAGGGAAAATATGTGCAGAAGACAGAATTCAATTGTAAAGCAAGTTGAAATGGAGCCTGTTTGTGTAAGGCTGGTATGCAACGTATTCTTTCATTTGTTTCCTCCATGCCTTTAAACCTGCTTCCTCCAGCTGTCCTGCACTCTGCACAATGGAACATCCTGGAATACTTGAATCAACACAATTCACAAAATCACTTCTTTGCTTAACATCTCTTGTTGGGAACTGCTGCCTGCAGTTCACATGGGCTCTGTTCTGTTTGAAAATGCAGCCTCTGTGTTTGTGATGTGCTGATGAGTTGAGATGGGCACTGCTGCCAGATGAGCTGAGTAGTAACCTGGATGCCTTCCTTGCATTTAAAACATCTGAGATTAAATGTGGCAAGGGGAAAACG